CAGTGTGGTGACTGACGGGGCGTTGGCAGAGAGCCAGCGTGAGCGGTAGCGGAGGATGGCGGGGCACGAGGAGGAGGAGGGCCCAGATATGGTGGAGGCGGAGCAGGGAGGAGGGAAGGGAGTCAGGCGGAAGAGGTTTCTAACGGGTCCTTCGGCTGAGAGGTGGAAGCGGCCCAGGACATAAGGGATCTCCCCCCATTTGTCATTTCACCAACAAAAGTTATTGAGGTCTTCTAAGATTTTGAAACTGAAAGACCCGTTTTTAGGCCACTGTGATCCATTGTCCAATTTGTACATCAGCCAGGCGGCGTTATAATGGAAAATGAGTCGCTTGGGCCGAATATCAGGCTTGAGGCCCAGGCTGCAAGACTGGCTAAGAGACAGCTCAGAGGCGTGCTGGGTTTTTTTGGAGGGTTGATGGCCCATGTTGTCCTAGTCCAATGAGGGTAGGACAAGATCGAGGAGTTGGTGTCCCAGGTCACCAATAAGGCCTTGGAGAGAAGGCTCTGAGCTTTGGAAGGACTGACTGAGGGGCTCAGGCTTCCCCGAGACACTCGGGGCCCTATGGATCCTTACGATGGAAGGACTGACTGAGGGGCTCAGGTGTCTCCGAGACAGTCAGGGCCTTCTGAATCCTTACGATGGAAGGACTGACTGAGGGGCTCAGGTGTCCCCGAGACACTCAGGGGCCCTATGGATCCTTACGATGGAAGGACTGAACTGAGAGGGCTCAGGCCGTCCCCGAGACACTCAGGGCCTTTATGGGATCCTTACGATGGAAGGAGCTGACTGAGGGGCTCAGGTGTCCCCGAGACACAGCCAGGGCCTTGATGGATCCTCTACAACATGCGAAGACTGACTGAGGTGCTCAGGTGTCCGCCCGAGGCACTCAGGCGCTGTTATGGGATCCTTGACGGATGGAAGCGACTGGAACTGAGGGGGCTCAGGTGTCCCCGAGACACTCAGGCCCTTATGGATCCTTGACGACTGGAAGGACCCGACTGGAGGGCTCAGCGTGTCCCCGAGGCCTCAGGCCCTTATGGATCCTTACGACTGGGAAGGACTGACTGGGAGGGGCTCGGGAAAATTCCCGAGACACTCAGGCCCTTATGGATCCTACGATGGAAGGACTGAGCTGAGGGCTTCGGGTCCGAGACACTCAGGTCGCCTTACTAAATCGCTGTGACGCATGGAAGGACTGACCTGAGGGCGCTCAGGCGTCCCCGAAGACACTCTGGGCCTTATGGATCCGTTACGACGTTGCGAAGGACTGAGCTGAGGGGCTCAGGTTCCCGAGACACTCAGGTCCTTGTATGGATCCTTACGATGTGAAGGTGAGCGTGGACTGAGGTGCTCAGGTGTCCCCGAGGCACTCAGGCCCGCTTATGGATCCTTACGATGGAAGGACTGACTGAGGGGCTCGGGATTCCCCGCGACAGCACTTCCAGGGCCCTTATGCGATCCTAGGATGGAAGGACTGATCTGAGGGGCTCGGCGTCCCCCGGCCACTCAGGTCCTTATAAATCCTCTACGATGGGAAGGACTGACTGAGGGGCTCAGGCGTCCCGAGCAGCTCAGCGGCTTATGGGATCCTTACGATGGAAGGACCTGACTTTAGGGTGCTCAGGTGTCCCCGAGACACTCAGGGCCTTATGCGATCCTTACGATGGAAGGACTGACTGAGGGAGATCAGTGGTCCCGAGACACTCGGCTCCTTATAAATCCTTACGATGTGAAGGGACTGACTGGAGGGCTCAGGTGTCCCGGGATCACACTCGGGTTATGGATCCTTACTATGTAAGGACTGGGGACTGGAGTGGGCTCAGGTGTCCCGAGTACACTCGGGGCCTTATGGATCCTTTACTTGATGGAAGGACTGACTGAAGGGATCAGGTGTCCCCGAGACACTCGGCGGCCTTGTGTTTTGGATCCTTACGATGGAAGGACTGACTGAGGGGATCAGGTGTCCCCGAGACACTCAGGGCCTTATGGATCCTTACGATGGAAGGACTGACTGAAGGGGCTCGGGCGTCCCCGAGACACTCGGGGCCTATGGATCCTTACGGATGGAAGGACTGACTCAGGGGCTCCGGGGTCCCGGAGACACTCGGGGCCTTTTGGTGGAGGATCTCTCTCTTGGGCCCAAGGTTGTATGGACAGTGGCCCTGGAATGGACACGCTGGGCTGAGACCGCAAGGGCAGAGGGACATACCCAGGTCAAATAGCTGACTAGCGTCCAGTGGAGGTCCTGGTCTGAGCTCAGGAAGACATGAGAGAGGCCAGGGCTACCATGGCCCTGAGTCAGACTGGCATGACGGAGAGCAGATCGCGGTTGGGGGGGGTGAGATCACCAGGGCAGGAGGAGTCTTGTGGTGCTGGAGGAGCTTGCTATTCTGGTTGTGATGGCTCTGGGTAGACGTATGTTCGAGTGCATCACACTGTGCTCGCACTGTGCACAGGTTTGTACTGCAGTTGTACCCCAATAACGCTGCCGTGTTACAGCGGTACTATTATCCCATTGTACAGATGAAGGATTGTAGGCGTGGAGAGCTTAGTGGCTTACACCCTGGGCATGCAGTGTGGTGCCCGTGCCCTGCATCACCATACCTGCCCCTACTCCGAATTTAGGAGTTATTTCAAGGTCATAGCCATGTCCAGTCCCTCTCTGCTTCTTCTTTACCCCTCCTCACTCCCTAGGTAGGGTGCACATTCCTTTATATTATATGTAATTGGTGCTCATTAAATATTTTTTGATTAATGGACAAAGGTGTAAATGTATTTTCTCTTGTAAATTTAAAGTGAAAAAGTAACTATGGGAAGAAGGGGGTTTGCTGGGAGACAGCTCAGATCCATAAAGCACTTTAGAGACTCAGCCTCTGCATGTCGCTGTATAGAAGCAATCTCGGGGGCCATTCTCACAGGGCGAGGGAAGGACATTGCACCAACTGCAGGAGCTCTGCAGCCTCCCTGGGCTGACTTGACTGCTGCTCCTTGCAGAAGGCCCAGGTCCTTAATCTGCAGTTACCATGGAAACCAGCCAATAGACTGGTGGCTTGTCACCTGGTTCTCCAAATTAGTGAAAGGTGGGGATCTAGTAGCATCCTTTTGAGAACAAAACGTTCCCTTTTGAGCAGGGACTGTGAAAATGAACCTGTCTTCCAGGGCAGCTGCGTTTCTCTGCCTTGATTCTGGGCGCTGCCTCTGGCCCCAGCCTGTGCTGCTTCTCTGCCAGCCAGATATGCAGGAGCCCGAGGCCTGTGTCTCTGCGGAACTGTGTTCTGTGTGTCATCCTTCTCCGTGCTCCAGGGCCTGTTTTAGGCACCGCGTCTCCAGAAGCCTTTGCGTGCCCAGCCCACAGCCTCCACCCTTCCCCAGAGCACTAGCTACCTCTTGACGGCCTCAGTGTTTCCTGTAGCACAAATCACGGAGGTGAAATCTGAGTTTTTCAAACCAAGACTTGCATTCTTCCAGGGGACACAGGACAGGCCCAAGAGGCTGGACGGCCACGGAAGGAGCATGCCCCGCCACCTCCCGCCAGCTTCTGCTGCACGTCAATGTCTTTCCTGATGCTGGCTGCACTGAAATATCTAAATGTAAACATAAGGATATTAAAAATAGGTTACATAACATAGTATAAAATTCCACTTTTTTTCAGTTTTTTTGTTGTGGTAAAATTAAAATATACATCACATAAAATTTTCCATTTTAACCATTTTTAAGTGCACAGTTCAGAAGCATAAGGACATCACATTGCTGTGAAACTGTGAGCACCACCCATCTCCAGAACTTTCTGTCTCGCGAAGCTGAGACTCGGCACCCCTTTTAACAGTAACTTCCTGTCCCCTCTCTGCCCAGCCCTGGCACCCACCATTCTGCTTTCTGTCTCTAAGACTTGGATTGCTCCAAGTCCCTCACAGAAGTGGAATCTACAGTGTTTGTCCTGTGGTGGCTGGCTTATTCCCCATGGTACAATGCCCTCAAGCTTCATCCATGTAGCATGTGTCAGAATCTCCCTCCTTTTTAAGGCCAAGTAATATTCTGTGGCATGGACTTGCCACATTTTGTTCAGCCATACGTCCATTAATGGACACTTGGGGAGCTCTCATCTTTGGGCTGTTGTGAGTAAAATTCTAGAAACTTTTAAAGATGCAGATACAACAAAAGACTTCAAAGAGATATCCTGTTTGTGCCGGTTACCTTTTGGCTTGTGCTTTAGCTGCACGGCAGGGTGGTGACCTGCTCGGGTAGGTCGCGAGGTCCGAGAGCCCCAGGCGGTGTGGTGCCCGTGGGGTGCCCTGCAGAAGGCATCAGAGACAGCCGCAGCGGAGAGGAGACGTACAGGGATGGAGGAGCTGCTTCACTGAGTTAATGAACAGAGCGAGGGGCACTCACCTGGCACCTAGCAAGTCCCTTGGGTGCGGGCCTGCCCGCCCTCGGGCGCTGTGGCCTGGTGAGTGCCGGCCTGGGGGTGAGAATCCCAGAGCAGAGGGGTGCTGCAGAGAGGCCTGGTTGGGAACGAGAGACCCAGGGGACAAATTCCAGGAAGACGAGGACAGGAGTGGGGGTGGAGGGGCTGTTCAGTCATTGCAAAGGGTGAGAGCCTCGCCGCACAGCAGGGCGTGCAGGGTGCAGCGTGCTGGCGTGTGCGTGCTGGGGAGGGCAGAACAGGCCTGTGCAGGGGGACCTTGGCTGGGCTCGAGTGGGAAGGGCCTTGGAGCCCGGGCTAAGAAGTCGGAGCTTCCACCCTCTGGGACATGAGGGGCTTTTGAAGGGTTTTAAAGAGGATGGTGACAGGCTTGGACTGGCCTCTGAGCTGGTGAGTGTGGGTTGGAGGGCGGCTGGGCTGAGAGCCCCTTGGGGGCTTCGCACCCTGCCTTCAGTTGCTGCATCGCTGGGAACCGCGGGGCGCTCCTCAGAACCCGGGATCCCTGAGCCCTAAAAAAGCCCTGGCTGTCTGCTCCACCCACTGCCTGCTCTCTGTTTGGGCTGTCCCCTCCCAGGTTCGGGGCGAGTTGCTGCGGGAGAGAGTGCAGTGGCTGGAGGCCCAGGAGGGACGCTTCGCCGAGGCGCTGGTGGCTCTGCAGTTCCAGAAGGCGGCCAGGGACACTGAGACGCTGTCGGCCTACAGCGCCCTCCTCAGCATCCAGGACTTGCTCCTGGAGGAGCTGAGCGTGTCAGAGACGCTGACCAAGTCGGCCTGCGCCCAGATCCTGGAGTCGCACAGCCCGGTGAGTGTGGCCTGGGGAGGGAGCGGGCCCCGCCACCCCGCGCCCTTTCTGGGGCTGTCTCCCACCTGCAGTGAAGGGCTGCGGTGCCCAGTGCTGCCTGTGCCTGGGGAGGGAGCAGGCCCCGCCACCCTTCTGGGGCTGTCTCCCACCTGCAGTGAAGGGCTGCAGTGCCCAGCGCTGCCTGTGCGCCAGGTTCCGGTGGGGGCTCAGCGAGGTAACGTGTCTGAGAGCGCTTTTGCGCGCTCAGCCCAGGCAGCTCCGTCGGTGGCCTCTGAGAAGCGTCCCGCTTGGGTTTCAGCGTCCCCAGAGTGGGGACGCAGCCTCCAGTCAGGGCCTGTGTCCCGGCTTCGCGGGCACTGTCACTTCCTTCAGAGTGCTGTGGGCACCAGCAGTGTCTCTCTCCGCTACTGGCGTCCTGAATGCAGCCACATGTTGGATTATTTATTAGTTTTATATATTTTATTATTTTTATAATTCTAATTATTCCCATTATAACTACATGCTACATTCTTTCAAGGTGTGAGAGGTGTATCCATAAAACAAAAGATGTGGTAACAAGTATTTAAAGTACTTATTTTAGGTCCTTTATGTGTAGATTTTAGAGTTCATCATTAGTTATTATCATAATTACTTACAGTGAGGAAAAAGGACCGCACATTCACTGAGTCCCTAGTATTGAGAATAGGCATGCTCTCGTTCTCTAATTAGCCTTCTCAAGATTATCATTTAAGTGTGATTAATAATGAGTTGCAATTTTACACTGCTTTACAATTATGCTCTTTGTCATTCGTTATGTTAATTAATTACCTAGCCCTGCTGTGCAGTCGGTGCTGTTACTATGCTCAGTTTTCAGGTAAAGAAACTGAGATTTGGGCAGGTGGCAGGCCAAGTTCTTTGTGAAGACCACATGGCTAACCAATGCAAAGACACTGAATCTATTTCTGACTTCCACCCACTATGTCATGTTCATGGTCTGTACCAGCAGGGTGTGCCAAGGGAGTTCCCATATTTGCTTTGAAAAGCAACAAGTAATAGTAGATGCTGATGGGTCCAGGACTGTGTTTTGGACAAACACTATGTATCCTGCATGTGACAACTATTTGGGGGATAGAAAGGAAGTAGAGGCATTATATATATTTCAACACAGAACGTGCAGACACTGGACAAAGAAAAATGAACATTCTTTTAAATGCTTTGTGAACTCACAAGAGAATATGGAAAATCCCCAAGACATATCCCAGAGTAAGCTAAACTCAGAGCAGAGGAAAGCAGGTTCAGGAGCTGGCTTCACCATGGAGCGGAGCTGAGAGCTGCGGCCAGGGCTGTGGGGCTGGCTCTGGGGAAGCCGGAGAGGACGCCTAGGCAGCACTCCCGTGAGGGAGGTGGGGGCAGGGAGAAATCCACCTGCTGGTGAAACCTATCTCATGCCAGCTCGTGCAGGGAAGTCTCCCTGTGAGGTTTTTTTTTTTTAATCGTTTTTGAAGTCTGATGAGGAAGAATCCCTGTGAGTTTTTAATCAAAGCCTTCCGCTAACATGGGGAATGTGTCCAAATGTATTTTGGCAGTTCAGTCAGGAAACCTACAAGGTGATAAATTAAATTACAGTGGTTCCAGGTTGGCCAACTGTCCCAATGCAAAGACAAGTCCTATCCTGAGAGAAATATCTTGGGGGCACCTCAGGATTTCCACAGGTTAAGGTCAGCCAAATCTGAGCTCCCAATTGAAGAAAAAAGTCACTGAACACATAAAAAAGCAAGGCAAGATGACCTATATATGGGAGAAACAAACAAGCAATAAAACACACATTAAGGTCCCTGAAGACTTTAGGTATCTGAATTATCAGCATAGAATATAAAATAATGATTGATGAAATTGTTAAATAAAGACAATACAAAAGTGATTTTAAAATTTCATTTGCCTAAAGCATATAGTGATTCTAAACTTGCATATACTTAATAAAAGACTCAAAATAAAGAAAAATTGCCAGTACAGGGAGAAATTGATAAATGTATCATAATAATGGGAAATTTCAGCACAGTTCTTTCAGGGGTTGATTGGTTGATCAAATGAAACCCAAGAAAGGATATGGATGAACTGAATAACCCATTTAACAAGCTGGTTTTAATGTACATATACAGAATCTCCCTGTTGGTTGTTAATGAACATACATTGGTCTTCAGCATACATTGGAACAGTTAAAAATAACTGACTATGTGATATCTTTGTGACCACCTTTTGATAAAGGGCAAGTTAGTTTAATTCAGTTAATAAAAGATAATTATAAAACATTCATACTTTGGACTTTGGAAATTTTAAAACATACTTCCAAGTGATTCATGAAAGAAATCATAATGAAAATTTAAAAATACATAGAACAGAAAAATAATGTAACTTTAACATGTCAAAATGTGTGAAATTCAGCTGAAGGTGTTTCTAGAGGGAAATTGATCCCTTAAACATATTAGAAAAGAATAAAAGCTCACTATTAAGATCATACTAAAAATTAGTGTGGAAACAACAATAAATGCACCTGTAGCAAGTGGAAGGAAAGAACATAGCATAAATAAAATTAGAAACAACACTACCATAGAGAGAATTGATACAGCAAAAAGTTGAATTTTTTTTTAAAAAAATATACAAATCCCTGGAAAGACCAACCATTAAAAAATAAAAAATGGACAAGTAAATAATATCAAGAGTATAAAGAGCAGCATAACTATAGGTGAAGTAGACTTTTTAAAAATAGGCCGGGCGCTGTGGCTCACGCCTGTAATCCTAGCTCTTGGGAGGCCGAGGCGGGCGGATTGCTCAAGGTCAGGAGTTCAAAACCAGCCTGAGCAAGAGCGAGACCCCGTCTCTACTATAAATAGAAAGAAATTAATTGGCCAACTAATATATATAGAAAAAATTAGCCGGGCATGGTGGCGCATGCCTGTAGTCCCAGCTACCCGGGAGGCTGAGGCAGAAGGATCACTCAAGCCCAGGAGTTTGAGGTTGCTGTGAGCTAGGCTGACGCCACGGCACTCACTCTAGCCTGGACAGCAAAGTGAGACTCTGTCTCAAAAAAAAAAAAAAAAAAAAAATATATATATATATATATATATATAAATAAGAGAATACTATTAACAACTTTATATAGATGAATTCGAAAACTGATATAAAATGGAAATTTTTAAAGAAAAATATAAATCACCACAATTGAATCAAGTAGGAAAAAAAGTCTGTATCATTCTATTACCATGACAAAATTTGATTCAGTAGTTAAGAATCTTCCGACATATATACAAAAAAAGTTAGCCTCAATAGTTTATAGGTGAGTTTCACCAAACTTTAAGGTATTTCACCAATCTCTTATATAAATTATTCCTGGTGTCAAAAAAATAGGAAATATTACTCATTTTATGATGTTCTGATAACTTTTCCACCAAAACCAGACATGAATAGTATAAGAAAGAACAGGCAGGGTTCAGTCTTACTTGTGAACATAGATGTACAATTTGTAAACATAATATTGTTAAGATATCCAGTCATCTACAAAAATGTTTAAGACATCATGGTCAGGTTGAGTTTATCCCAGGAGTATAGATGGGTCGGTTTAACATTAGAACACCCATTCACAAAATTTACCTAATTAACAGATTAAGCGGGGAGGGACTCATGTGATACTTTCAGTGTATACAGCATAAGTCTTTTTTTGACACCATTTAAGATAAAACTCCCTAGCAAATTAATAATAGGAGGACACTTCAACAGCACACTCACCCATAGTGCACAGCAAGTGCCACACTTGGAGGTGGCAGGCCCAGAGGTGGACTGCTGCCGCGTGGCAGAGGGAGGGAAGCACGCCTCGAGTTGGGGCGAGTGGGATGTAGGAGCCTCCGGCTTCCCGTCCACAATTCGCCTGCTCAGCCTGAGTGCTGGAGAAACGCCCTCAGTGCGCCCTAGAGCCCCGCATGGCGCTTCGTCCTTGAGACCCCCTGGTTTTGTCAGTGACTGGGGAGTACAGCGCTCACATTGCCATCTCTGAAAGCTCTTTTGAGTAACATCAATGCTTCCTATTTCTAGTTTGTTTAGAACAAAAGAGTTAATGTGTCCTGAATTGGAAGCAACTGATAATAAATCCGATGACATCATATTACTAAATTGGTGGTAAGGCAATGGATATAGTGCATTTTTTCTTCAGCTCGCACTGGGAGGGAAGACAAGCCTGTCGTTTTACTCTGGATATTAGACTTTCATTGTGTAATTTGCTTATTCTGTGTAAACCACTTTCCCATTGTGAATGGGCTTGTAAGCTGTTAAATATTCGAGAAAATCAAAAAGCATGAAATAAAATGCTTTGGAAGAAATGGCTCCTAAGAAAACTGTATCAAGTGTACCTCATTCGATGGAAGATTGAGACTCATTTTGTAAAATCAGAGCGCATGCTAGCCTGGATTGGCTCAGAGGGCTGTGTGGCAGTGACGGGCAAACCTAAGTAGGGAGGACTCGCTCGTGGCAGATAGTGTGGCCCAAACCAGCCGTGCCCGCTGGGTCTGCACGTCAGCTGCAATTGCTGTGTGTCCACTTTCTGAGCCTGGCCTGGGCGTCTCCCTCTGATGTTCCCTCAGCATCGCCTGCTGATTGTGCCGGAGTTTTCCTACTTCCAACTTCTGCTGCCCAGCCTCACTGCTCTGACTTCTAGGCCTGAAATACAAAAATAACATTAATATTTGCTAGCATCTGTTGAGCTCTCGTTAAGTCCAAGGCACAGGGTTAAGTGTTTAAACTTTATGTCCACCCCATGACATTTGTGTACCCATCCTACAGATGAAGGAGCTGAGGCTTAGGAGGGTTAAGTCATTTCACCAAAGTCCACAGCTGGAAAGCAGACTTTAAACCTTCCCTCATAGCCTATTCTGCCCTCACATCCCCTTCTGCCTACCTCCCTTCTCCCTGCTCCAGTCCCTCTGCACCCTGTCAGCAAAGGGATGTTTCTGAAAAGTGAAAGTGATGCTTTGCAGCCCCGACCCAGCTCTGCACTGTAAAATCCCACCATTCACCACTCCCTTCCTAGGAGCCTGCATTTTGGTCCCTGGACTGCTTGCTGTCCCCCGAGTGCTTGAGACACACTGAGGCACCTGTTACTTTGAAGGTTCTCTGCCTAAAATGCTTCTGACACACCTCTTTGCAAATGTCAGTGCATATTCTAAGACAGGCTTGAATGTTGCCACCTCTTTGAAGCCATCCATGATTCCCTCTGGCAGAGCTGGTCTCTCCCAGCTCTGTGCTCCCGTAACCCTCCATCCTGAAGCAGGTGATGGCATTTCCCATCACTGTGACCATGTTTACACAACTGTCTTCCTCACTAGACTGAGCTTTCAGAGTCTAGGGGCCATGTCTCATTCATCCCTGAATCCCTTGTGCCCCCAAAAAGGCTTGGAACTCTGTCTGTCTATCCATCCATCCAGCTGTCTGTCTGTCTTTCTACCCTTCCATCCATTCATCTGCCATTATCTATCCGTTCATTCATCCACAGACACTGTGCAGTGCTCACCAGGGCAGTAGAGCCGACATCCATCCTGTCTTGCACAGCTCAGAGATTTCAGATTCACTTCAGACTCTCTGTGCCTGCTACCTTATGTACAAAAAGGGAGAATAATATATTCTACCTTGCGTTATTTTGTGAGGATTAAATAAACGAATTCATGTACAAATACTCTGAATGAAATTTGGTGCAGCATAGGCATTTGGTAAATGCTAGCTGGCGCCACCACCACCACCATCATCGCTGTTACTTCTTCCATTAGCCAAGCACTGTGCCCGCTGCTGGGGAGGGAGGTGAGCAAGTCAGCTCCCGCATCAGGGTCCCGCCCTGGCACTCGACATCTGGAGACGAAAGCAAGCATTAAAGAAGACAGTTCCAGAACTGAGCTTTGAATTCCAGATGTGCTAAGTGGCAGGCAGATGTTGGGGTGTTGCAGGGGCTTCGGGGACAGGACTGAAGCTCTGGGCGAACTTGCCGTCAGCAGATTATATTTCTACTTTCTTTGTTTCTTTTCTTTTCTTTTTTCTTTCCTTTCCTTTCCTTTTCTTTCATTCCTTTCCCTCCCTCCTTCCTCCCTCCCTCCCTCACTTCTTCCTTCCCTTCCTGTTTCCTTCCTTCCCCCCTTCCTCCCTCCCTCCCTCCCTCCCTCTCTCCCTCCCTTCCTTCTCCCTCCTCTCCTTCCTTCCCTCCCTCCTTCTCCTTCCCTCCCTCCTTCCTTCCCTCCTCTCCTCCTCCCTCCTCCCTCCTCCTTCTCCTCCTTCCTCCCTCCTCCCTCACTTCTTCCTTCCCCTTCCTGTTTCCTTCCTTCCCCTTCCTCCTCCCTCCCTGTTTCCTCCTTCCTCCTCCCCTCTCCCTCCCTCTCCTCCCTCCCTCCTCCTCCTCCCTCTCTCCTCCGTCTCCCTCTTCCTCCCTCCTTCCTTCCCTCCCTCCTTCCTCCCTTCCTCCTCCCTTTCTCCCTCCCTCCCTTTCTCCCTCCCTCCCTTCCTCCCTCATTCGTCCCTTCCTTCCTCCCTCCCTTCCTTCCTTCTTCCTCTCTTCCTCACTTTCTCTCTTTATCTTTCTTTGCAGACAGAGTCTCACTGTGCCACCCAGGCTGGACTGCAGTGATCATCACTCACTGCAGCCTTGAACTCCTGGGCTCAAACGATCCTCCCACTTCAGCCTCCCAAGTAGCTGGCACTACAGGTGTGCACCATCATGCGCAGCTAATTTTTTTTATTATTTTTTGTAGAGATGGGGTCTTGCTATGTTGCTCAGATTTGAATTCCTGGCCTCAAGTGAAACTCCTGCATTGGCCTCTCAAAATGGTGGGATTACAGGCGTGAGCCACCATCCCTGGCCCTCCACTTTATTTTCTATTCCTAAGCAGGACTCACCTGCTACGTGAAAAGCCACTCTTTGTGCCCCACTGCTTCTCTGGTAACAGTGACAGGTCTGGGCTCGAGCCTTCCCTTCCCATATGGTGGGATGTGGTGGCATGTCGGCAGAAGTCTGGCCTCCGACCCAGGCTGCTGGCCATGCTGGCATCTTGACAGAACATCCTGTTGGAGACTGTGTTGGGCTGTGTTTCCACGCGGGGTGCCACAGCCAGAGGGCTGGTCACAGTTACCAAGCTCAGCATGCCAGAAGCCCTGCTTAGGAGCTTTCGAAGACTTCACACGGCCCTGGGGACAACACCAAGTGCTCAGCTTAGCTATAAGGCGAGACTCCATGCTACGGCCTCAGCTGGTCTCTGCAGCTGTTATTTCTTCTGTCTTGTTCTTGAGTTGCATTTCTGAGTCTTTGGCTTTGAGACCCTCTGGGAGTTTGATATAAGTTTTGGCCCCTCTGCAGAAAGCCAGACCATTTGCCACATATTTTAGGAGGATCAAGGACCACTATCCCCTGATAAAATCCATCCCAAGCCTCTTAGGAATAAACCCCATCCCCACTCCGCACCCCCACCCTTCACCCCCACTTACGGCACTGGCCAGACTGGTGAATAATGGGTTAAATGTGCCTGCGTTCTCCAAGGCCTGGGGCCCTCTTGCCTACCTCCCTCACCCGCCTAAGCAGGCTGCGCACAGATTATCCCTTGCGCTGAAATTATCTACTTCTGGTGGCCTAAGAATGCAGATTTCTTCTGTTTGGGCAATAAGAGGCTGTGTAGAACTAGTGGTCAAGAACACAACCCTGGAGCCAGCTGGGCTGGCCTCACATTTTGACTCGGCCACTTACAAGTTGCATCACCTGGCACATTACTTTAACTCTCTCTGCTTTGACTGCTTCATCTGTAAAATAAGGAAATGAGAGCATGTGTTCTGGAGGGTGTGCAGGGACTCGCAGGACAGACAGACGTGAGCGCACAGACGGTGCCGTGGGCGCCAGCCGGTTTCGCCGTGGCAGAGGCCAGCAGGCCCTCCGCGGCGCGCGAGCACACTGCGCTCGCCAGGGCGGAGCCGCAGCCCTGCCCTGGAGGAGCTCACACTCTGGCAGAAGGGAGGGCCGTGACCTCAGGCCACGGTGGAAGCGGGCACATACCGGGGGTGGTGAGTGGCCACGTGACGGGAGGGTGTCTGCACCTTCCAAGGGACTTAGGGAGCCCTTCACTGAGGCGATTCTTCGTAAGCAGCAGGACTCACCGCCTGCCCTCTCCTTGGGTAGGAGCTGCAGGAGCTGGAGAGGAAGCTGGAGGAGCAGCTGACCCAGCAGGAGGCGGCCCAGCAGCAGCAGGCCCTGGCGAGCTGGCAGCAGTGGGTGGCCAATGGGCCTACGCTTCTGAACGAGCCCGGGGAGGCAGGCCCTGAAGGGCAGGCTGCCAGCCTCCTGCGGCAAGCCCTGAGCAGGGCCCAGCAGTTCCTGGAGCACCACCAGCAGAGGTAGGCTGAGCGCCGCATGGCGTTCCGTGGCGTCAGTCCCCTGCAGGCCTGGGGGACCCAGCCTCTCCAGCTCAGCCCGACCTCGCCCCGCTGGCCCCACACTCCTGCTTGAGTGTCACTGAAGTGCTCAGGTGCACGCTGCTAGCTTTGTAGGATCCTGCTTCTGCCCTGCCACCTTCTATATTTTCTTTTTCACTTTAGTATCATACTAAACAGTATTTCAACCATTTTATTTTTGAATAATTATAGATTCAGAAGACGTTGCAAAGATAGTAGGAAAGGTCACATGTGCTTTCGCCAGCATCCCCCAGTTGGCCCCATCTTACATAATCATGGTCCCTACCCAAACCAGGAGTGACACTGGGGCAAAGCAATGGATTTGGCTGCAGGCCTTTTTCCAGTTTTACCATGAACATAGGAGTTTATACCATGCTTTGTAAAATTTTAAAATAGACATGATCTCAATCTTCCTTTTTGTTCTTTGCCTTCTTTTTCACTGAACTTTAGGCAATTAGCCATGGCTGTGGCATTAAGAACTCTTGGAGAAACATCATTTGTAATGGCTTCGTAATTTTCCACCCTGAATATAATACTGATATGGAAGGGAGAGCATGCAAATGCTATACATAGTGTGATTAATTTTTTAAAACGCACCCAAGTTAATTACAAGGAAATAGACGAAATTGTAATGGATGTGATTATGAGATTATAGGAGATTTTAATTTATTTGATTGCGCTTTTCTGTGCAAACACAACGTCCAAGTGCCATTCAGTCCCACTGAATCTGTGCTGTCGAGGGTGCTGATCGGACGTGCTGGCTCAGGTCAGCCTGAGCCTTCAGGACACGCAATATTACGCACTCCCTGCGGGAGATGGCTTCCGGTCAAGCTTTTGGTTTGAGCTGTGCCTGCAGAAGGTCTGGGTGTATTAGCCCGAGAGAACACGCGGCAGATCCATGACGCCAACTTTCATTGGCTAAGGGGTGGTCAAGAAGACCCCCTTGTGTGGAAGTTAGGAGGCCTCCTGTTTTCAAAAAGGTGACACCCAGTCTTGTGGTCGGAGCCACGACCGCACTTGGAAAAGGGTGCGGGGTCTGCTTCGCTCAAGGGCGTGTGGCGGAGGTGGCCCTCAGCACTTGGCCTTCTCGGTCGTGACCGCGAGGACTGACACAGGGTCTTCAAAGCGAGATCCGAGGCCACCCTGCGAAGGCACAGAGCGTCTGCCCGGCGCCCACGGGGTCTGCGCCCTGGCGCTGCATGGGGGAGCCGTCCTGCGTCTCTGCGGGGCGGTCCGGGCAGGGAGGGAGGCGAGCCTCGCGCCACCGCCCTGTGCAGACACGCGCATTTAAATCGCGCGGCTTGGATGTGAGGTTCTCTGTCACTGCAGCAGCGCGATGATCTCCTCCCGGCGTCGCTTCCTCGCGAAGCCGCTCACCACGCTGTCTCCCGCAGGCTGGGCGCCGAGCAGCAGCGCGCCGCCGCGCTGGAGGCCGAGCTGGAGCGCGCCGAGACCGACGCCTTCGCGGCGCTGCGCGGCCAGGTGAGACCCCGCGCCCTCGCCGCCCGCGGCCGGCCGCCCTGCGTGCAGACGCGGGAGAGCCCGACACTGCCGGCGCGCCCTGGGGCCCTGCGTGCAGACGCGGGAGAGCCCCACAGGGCCTGCGCGCCCTGGGGCCCTGCGTGCAGACGCGGGAGAGCCCCACAGGGCCTGCGCGCCCTGGGGCCCTGCGTGCAGACGCGGGAGAGCCCGACAAGGCCTGCGCGCCCTGGGGCCCTGCGTGCAGACGCGGGAGAGCCCAACACGGCCTGCGCGCCCTGGGGCCCTGCGTGCAGACGCCCCACAGGGCCGGCGCGCCCTGGGGCCCTGCGTGCAGACGCGGGAGAGCCCGACATGGCCGGCGCGCCCTGGGGCCCTGCGTGCAGATGCGGGAGAGCCCGACACGGCCTGCGCGCCCTGGGGCCCTGCGTGCAGACGCGGGAGAGCCCAACACGGCCGGCGCGCCCTGGGGCCCTGCGTGCAGACGCGGGAGAGCCCCACACGGCCGGCGCGCCCTGGGGCCCTGCGTGCAGACGCGGGAGAGCCCCACAGGGCCGGCGCGGAGTCTGTTCACAGCAGCAGCTGCGGCCGCAGTCACGACGGCCTGGCTGGCGTCTCTGCTGAGCCCTGACAGGCACACTTCTCCCTCTCCTCAGTCTCCAAGTTTAACGTGCAGAGGGCAGGTTCCACAAGGAACAAAGTTGGTAAGAGAACAGCGAGTTTGAGCTGCGACAGGCGGGCCTGGCTGGTCACCGCCCGGCTGCAGCGCTGGCTTGCCTCCCTGCCGAGAAGCCCGGCCATGGGCCCGGAGCTCTGTGCAGAGGCGTTGACCGGGTGCTGCTAGTTGTGTGTGTTGGTTTTTTTATTATTATTATTATTTCAGCATATTATGGGGATACAAAGGTTACATATATTGCTCATGGCCCCCTCCCCCCTCGAGTCAGAGCTTCAAGCGTGCCCACCCCCAAACATTGCACATCTCACTCATTATGTATGTATATACCTATCCCCTCCTCCCCCTCCCACTCCCCCCAACACCCAATGAATGTTACTCCTATATGTCCACTTAGGTCCTGCTCAGTTAATACCAATTTGCTGGTGAGTACATGTGGTGCTTGTTTTTGATTCTTGATATACTTCACTTAGTAGAATGGATTCCAGCTCTGTCCAGGAAAATACAAGAGGTGCTGTATCACCGTCCTTCCTTATAGCTGAATAGTACTCCATGGTATACATGTACCACATTTTATTGATTCACTCATGTATTGATGGGCACCTGGGTTGTTTCCCCAACTTTGCAATTGTGAACTGTGCTGCCATAAACATTCGAGTGCAGGTGTCCCATTTGTAGAGTGTCATTTGATCTTCTGGGTGGATGCCCAGTAGTGGAATTGCTGGATCAAATGGTAAATCTACTTATATTGCTTTAAGGTATCTCCATATTGCTTTCCACAGAGGTTGAACTAGTTTGCAGTCCCACCAGCAGTGTAGGAGTGTTCCTATCTCTCCGCATCCACACCAACACTTATTGTGTGGGGACTTTTTGTTAAAGGCCATTCATACTGGAGATAAGTGATATCTCATTGCAGTTTTGATTTGCATATCCCTGATGATTAGAGATGTTGAACATTTTTCATATGTTTGTTGGCCATTATTCTGTCTTCTTTCGAAAAATTTCTGTTCATGTCCTTTGCCCACTTTTTGTTAGGGTTGTTTGATTTTTCCTTGCTGATTTTCATGAGTTCTAAATAAATGGTAGTTATCAGCCACTTATCAAATGTGTAGCTTGTGAAAATTTTTTCCCATTCTGTAGGTTGTCTGTTTGCTCTCTTGACAGCTTCTTTGACTGTGCAGAAGCTTTTTATTTGATTAGGTCCCATTTATTTATTTTTGTGGCTGCTGTGATTGGCTTTGGGGTCTTCTTCATAAATTCTTTGCCTACGCCAATGTCTAGAAGAATATTTCCAACATTTTCCTCTAGAATTCTAATAGTTTCACACCTAATGTTCAAGTCTATTAACCAGTGTGAGTTGATTTTTGTGAGAGGTGAAAGGTGTGGGTCCTGTTTCAGTCTTCTACATGTGGCTATACGGTTTTCCCAGCACCATTTATTGAATAAGGATTCTTTTCCTCAGTGTATGTTTTTGTCTGCTTTGTCGAAGATTAGTTGGCTATATGAGGATGGTTTGTAATCTAGGTTCTCTTTCTGTTCCACTGGTCAATAATCCCTTTCTTGTGAAATCTCGAGCTGTTTAATTTATATAGCCTTGTAGTATAGTTTGAAGTCTGGTTAATTGATTCCTCCTGTTTTGTTTTTATTGCCTAGGATTGCTTTTGCTATACGGGGTCTTCTCTGGTTCCATACAAAGCGTAAAATTATTTTTTCTATATCTATGAAAAATGATGATGGTATTTTAATAGGGATTGCATTGACTCTATAGGTCACTTTGGGTAGTATAGACATTTTAACAATGTTGATTCTGCCAACCCATGAGCATGTTATATTCTTCCACCTGTTTACATCCTCTGCTATTTCCTTCTTTAGTGTTTCATAGTTCTCCCTGTAGAGGTCTTTTACCTCTTAGTTAAATATATTCTAGGTACTTTATTTCTTTGTTGCTATTGAAGGGAATGAGTCTTTGATTTGGTTCTCACTTTACTGTTGTGGCGTATATGAATGCCTCTGATTTCTGTGTATGATTTTGTATCCTGAGACTTTACAAATTCATTTATCAGTTCAAGAGTCTCTTGGTTGAATCCTTGGGGTTTTCTAGATATAATATCATGTCACAGCAAGAAGTGAGAGTTTGATCTCTTCTGCTCCCATTTGGATGCCCTTAATTCCGCTCTCTTGTCTGATTGCTGTAGCAAGGACTTCCAGACTATTTGAGATAGAAGTGGAGACAGTGGGCAAACTTTCTTGTTCCAGTTTAAGTGGAATGCTTTCAATTTTCCCCATATTATGCTTGTGTATTATATTGGCTGTTGGTTTGTCTATATGGATTGTATCATTAGTAAGCCCCATCTATGCCTATTTTGTTGAGCGTTCTTATCATAAAAGGGTGTTGAATTTTGTCAAATGCTTTTTCTGCGTCTGTTGAGAGGATCATATGGTCTTTGTTTTTACTTCTGTTTATATGGTGAATTACATTTATAGATTTGCCTATGTTGAACCATCCCTGAATCCCTGGGATGAAGCCCACTTGGTTGTGATGGATTATTTTCTTGACAAGCACCTGAATTTGATTGGCTAAGATTTTGTTGAGAATTTTTGCATCTATATTCTTAAGGGATATTGGTCTGTAGTTTTTTATTGTTGTTGCAATTTTCCTGGTTTTGGTATCAGGATTACATTCGCTTCCTAGAATGTGTTGGGGAGAATTCCATCCTTCTTGAGGTTGTGGAATAATTTTTGCAGGATAGGTACTAGGTCTTCTTTGTAAGTGTGGTAAAATTCGGGTGTGAAACCCTCTGGTCCGGGACTTTTCTTTTTAGGAAGAGTTTTAATTACTGTTTCTAGTTCGGCTCTTGATATTGATCTGTTCAGGAATTCTATTTCTTCCAGGTTGAGCCTAGGGAGGCTGTGTGTTTCTAAGAAATTGTCCATTTCCTCCACATTTTCCAGTTTGTGTGCATAGAGGTTTTTGTAGTATTCATAAATTATATCTTGTATCTCCGTGGCATCCATTGTAATTTCTCCTTTTTTGTTCCTGATGGAGCTTATTAGAGATTTCTCTTTTCTGCTTTTCATTAGTCTAGCCAAAGGTGTGTCAATTTTGTTTATTTTTTCAAAGAACCAACTTGTTATTTATTTATTAATCTTTTTATTTATTAATCTTCCGTATAATTTCCCTGTTGTCAATTTCATTTAGTTCTGATTTAATCTTAATAATTTCACTTCTTCTGCTGGGTTTGGGGTCTGTCTGTTCTTCTTTTTCCAGCTCTTTGAGATGATTCATTAAGTTGTCTATTTGTGATCTTTTCTTCTTTTGCATATAGGCATTTATGGAAATAAACTTAACTCTCAGGACTGCTTTAGCTGTGTCCCACAGGTTTTGGTAACCTGTGTCTCCTTTGTCTTTTAGTTCCAAGAATCTTTTGATTTCCATCTTAATTTCTCATTTATGAAGTGATCATTCAGCAGAAGGTTGTTTAGTTTCCATGACTTTGTGTAGAAATGAGGGCTCCTGTTAGGATTGGTTTCTACATTTATTCTATGGTGATCTGAAAAGATACATGGTACAATTTCTATTTTTCCAAATTTTTTGAGACATGCTTTGTGTCCTAGGATATGGTCAATCTTAGAGAATGACCCTTGAGATGATGAGAAGAATGTATATTCAGTGGTTTGGGGGTAGAATGTCCTGTAAATGTCAGTCAGGCCCATTTGTTCTAGGGTTCTATTTAAGTCCGTTATTTCTTTGTTGATTTTCCGTTTGGAGTATCTGTCCTGTGCTGTCTGTCAGTGGGGTGTTAAAGTCTCCGACTATTATGGTGTTGTTTTTCCATTTTTTAGATGAAGTAGAGTTTGCTTTATGAATCTGGGTGCACCAAGGATGGGTGCATATATATTTAGAATTGTTATGTCTTCTTGTTGAACTGTACCCTTCACCATTATATAGTGACCTTCTTTGTCTTTTATTACTTTTGTTGATTTATAAAGTAAGTTATCTGTAATCAGAACTGCCACGCCAGCTTTCTTTTGGCTTTTGTTTGCTTGAAATATTGTACTCCTTTACCTTTAGTCTAACAGCATCCTTGCAGGTTAGATCTGTTTCCTGAAGGCAGCAGAAACTTGGCTCATATTTTTTTATCCATTCGGCCAGCCTATATCTCTTCAGTGGGGAGTTCAAACCATTCACATTTATTGAAATAACTGATAGGTGGGGCAGATTTCTGTTCATTATGTTCTGTTGAACTTTGTTGCTTTGTTTTCTCTCTTGAGCCGCTGTGATATCTGGGCTTTTATCTTTAGCTTTTGAGTAGATTTACATTCGTGAGTG